CAACTCTTGGGCTTCTCTGTTACCAACGAATAGTGGGATTGACCGTCACATTATAACGCCCCCACGGCTGAAAGGGCGAGCATGTTTGGTGTAACGGGGATTCGTACCCGCAGATTGCGGGTCGAGCTCTCTAACCGCCTGGCCATGCCAGGCCGACACTTTTTGTGGAAAAATAGCGAATTTTTAAGAAATATTTCAAAACTTTATACGTTTTTAATGCGGGCTTACGATGCTAAAAATCTGGTTTCGATACCCGTGATGGGCAGAACACGGATGCCCCATTGTGTGGCTTTGCGCTTAACAACAACCAAATCAAAGCCGAAAATAAAAATACGACGGCCATTTTGTTTTTTTCTGGTACCAGGAAATGAACATTAAAAAACAACAATCTTGCACTCGGAGAACTGCGTTATAAGAGTAAGAGTCAAGTCCTAATTGTGGACTGTGGGTGGTAAAGTTCTCCTAGTTGGCCTCTGTTCACTCTGGTCAGTAGTTCAAAATTAGGGACCCACCACTGGCACAGCGGTATATCTGCGGACTTACAACGCTAGAAACCTGGTTCGATACTCGCGGTGGACAGAGATCAGATAGCCCAATGTGTAGCTTTGTCCTGAACTACAAACAAACTGATGTGTCTTGTCGTTTCTTTGGCGAAAAAAAAACAAAAACAAATCACTTCTTCTATATACGGTTAGAGCCTTCAGACTTGGAGTTCGTATTGGTACCGATTATTAACGTGGAAGTACCTTTCTCACCTACTACCATTCCAGTAAGTTTCGAAACATTATGGTTGAATTCGAGTCTGGGAATCGAATTTGGTTTTTCGCGCAAAGACTTTCAGTCGCAGCTATGTTTAGTATACGTAAGAATATAAGGCTTGAAGAATAACGAGAATCAGAACACTAGGGGTGACAGGAAGTGAAAATATTAGCATCCACTCACTTCAACACGATTTTTATACACAATACCGCGGCTCAAACCACATTTAGAGCTCATACGGAGCCCGGTGATGGTGGGGGGAACAGACCCCCTGAAATTTCGTTGCCCCCCCTCAAGCTAATGCTGTCCATTAATTTCTTTTTCGTATCAGTAATAACCAGACCTAATAGAACATTCGGGAATCCACAAATCCATCACAAGTGAACTGTAAAACTCTAAAAAAAAAAAAACTGAACTAAAGATGATGGACTCTGCCATTGCCTTTTTCATTTTTTTTTCTGGAAACTAACACGAGACTTCCTGAAAAGCGCTTAATAAAGTCGTTCCATCCACAAGGTTTTAAGTTAATGAGAAATGTTCTACTCTAAGGTTATAGGTTCCTAGGTTGCTACCAATGTACTTGTGATGACTGGTGAGGCCACCTATATTGGCAAACTTCAATTAATAAAAGCTTATTATGAATATGTGGGAGTCTCGAGTAGAACCGGTCAGAAAGTTTCAAATCCTCGTGTTTAACCTATCTGTACACTGTCGGTTAGCGTTCCGGATTTGGGGGCCCAGTGGTTCGTGCCCCGTTACTGGCAAAAAGAAAAGAATCGCGCTCTGCACTTTGAAAGTATAAGAGTGACAGTCAAAGGCCGCTCTCGCACGGGTATCTTTGTTAGTTTTTATAACACCCGCTGAACTGAAAGTACAAAATGTATGTGGTTCGGATCCCCGTCCAATCAAACGTGCTCGCCCGTTCAGCCATGTGGGCGCTATAATGTGACGGTCAATCCCACTATTCGTTGGTAAAATAGTAGCCCAAGAGTTAGCGGTGGGTGGTGATGACTAGCTACCTTCCGTATAGTCTTTCACTGCTAAATTAGGAACAGCTAGCGCAGATAGCTCTCGTGTAGCTTTGAAAGAAATTCAAAACAAGTCACACCACGTCTGGAACCCGATACTCTCGCATTACCAGTCCGATACACTGACCACCAGGTGACGCTTCGATCACAACCATTATTGATCATTTTAAGTTTTTGATAAATGTTTTTTGTAATTCAAAGATTATTTGTTTTGTCGATATTCATTGAAACCTGCAGTGTAACGAATTTGTTATATCTTCTCCAAAACGTTTTTAATTTTTATCTCATAGGGCTGCGTTCGTTTGTATATTACATAACGAAAAGCTGCAGTAAAATCTAAAATTCAAGGTTCAGTCCCCGCGACGATTGTTTGTTTGTTTTTGGAATTTCGCGCAAAGCTACACGAGGGCTATCTGTGCTAGCCGTCCCTAATTTAGCAGTGTAAGACTAGAGGGAAGGCAGCTAGTCATCACCAACCACCGCCAACTCTTGGGCTACTCTTTTACCAACGAATAGTGGGATTGACCGTCACATTATAACGCCCCCACGGCTAAAAGGGCGAGCATGTTTGGTGGGATGCGGATTCGAACCCGCGACCCTCAGATTGTGAGTCGAGCGCCTTATCCACCTGGCCATGCCGGGCTCATTAAGAAAGGACTTGTGTCGCTAAAGTTTCGTCGGAACGAAGTTACGGAAAGTTAACTAGCGAACTGAGACGTAACAGTATTATTTTTTGAATGGCCATTTATATTTTGAAATTCTCACTTTATCATCAACTTCATATCTAGTAGTAGGAATAATTTTTACATTATATAGATTATTTAATACTTTACATTCATTTTATTTCTTACTTTTTTCAAGTGGATT